ATATATACAATGTTATACTATATAATGTACCTATATATAAATTTCAATAAAGAAAACTGAGGCAAGACCTCACTTTTAAAAAAAAAAAAAAAAAAAAAAAAAAAACAATATTATAATTATGAGCTAATTATATTGTAGTTGAAGCTTAAGAATGTTCTAAAAAATTAAAAAAATTTATATAAAAATTTAATGCTAATGTAGTTAAATAAAGTAATTAAATGTATTAAAATGTATTAGTTTTAAAAAATTTATAAATAATAATCTAAAAATAAAAATAATTACAAATAAGAGCCCAAATAAAAATAATTATTGATAGTAATTATAATAGTATCTATAGTTACTTTTTTTATAATTTTATTTGTTTATAATTACAGATAATAATCATAATAGTATCTATAGTTACTTTCTTTATAATCTTATTTATTTATTATTGCAAACTTTTAAAACCAATTTATATAATATATAAAATTTAATTTTTAGAATTTTTAAAATCAAAACAGAGTAAAAGTATTATTATATCTTGTACTTTGAATTTATCTATAAAGGTAAATTATAAAAATTGGTCTTTTTTTATAAATATAGTAAGCTTTATACTTATTAGCTAAAATAATAAAAAGGTATAAACTGGTTTTATTTATAAAACAAATAGTTAATAGTTTACTTGGTTTGTTTATTCTTAACTTAAAATTTTAACAGAATAACAGTTACTTAGTTTATTTATTTTTAATTTAGCATTTAACAAATAACTATTTAAGGCCAAATAAATATTTTCTAGGTTGTATAAGTTACACCAACTTGTAACTTTGTATTTAATATTTATGAACAGGTTTTAAGAAATATATATAAGAATTTCAATAAAATAAATTTACAATATAAATAATAGGTTGATGGATTAAATATATCTTTTATTATATATTAAAACTTATATTCAAATTATTAATTAATTATTATTTCATTTTTTATGCATTAATAATTAATAATTACTTTTATATACAAATTATTAAAACAAAATTAAATTATAAGTTTTTAAGTATATAATCATTTTGGGCTCTTATTTGTAATAATTTTAAAATATTAGGTTTCTATTTTTATTTTAACTCTTATTTATAATTATTTATTTTTTAAATACTTATTTGTAAATTTTTCTTAGCTTTAATATTCAATAGTAGTTTTATATAATTATAAAAATATTTATTTTTATATATATAATATTAAGATAGTATTTTTGCATAAAACTTTAAAAAAAGCTTTTTTGCTAATTAATCTAGTTTATTAATATTAAATTTAAATTAACTAATGTAATATTTTTATATAAAGCTTTAGCTAGTACTTTTTCTGCTGATTTTTTAATTAATTTTTTTCTAAATTTAAATTAGTTAACATAGTATTTTTGTATAAAGCTTTAGCCAATACTTTTTTTACTAATTTTTCTATCTAATTTAAGTTTAAATTTTAATTAATTATTATTATATATTTGTATAAAACTTTAGCTAATACTTTTTTTGCTAATTCTCTTAATTTATTTTCATATAAACTTAAATTAATTAATGTAGTATTTTTGTATAAAGTTTTGATTAGTATTTTTTGTTAATTTTTATAATATAAATCTAAATAAGTTAAGGTAGCATTTTTATATAAAGCTTCAGTTAGTATTTTTTTGTTAATTTTCCTATCTAATTTAAATTTAAATTAAATTAATTAGTATTATATTTTTATATAAGATTTAGTTAATATTTTTACTAAAATTACTATATTCTAAATATAGATTAGTTAAGATAGTATTTTTGTATAAAATTTTAGTTCTGCAAATTCTTCAAGTTATTACAACTTAAAGTTAAATAAGTTAGTATAGTATTTTTGTATAAAGCATCAATCAGTGCTTTTTTTGCTAATTTTTTCAAGTTATTATTATAATATTAATATTAATAATTTATATAATATTTATTTAAAAAATTTTTTTATTATACAAATTAGTTAAGCAATAGACAATAATACAAATTATAATATGTATTTATTATAAAAATTTAATACAAAATTTATAAAAAACACTATTATTCACATTTTATTTGATTATAACATTACTTTCTTCACTATTTTCACTTTTCATATTGTGGTGAAGGGTCTTGGTTATCATAATTTGCAATATTTTATATTCTAATTAGATCATACATGATTACTAAAATTAAAATCTATTTAGTTTAAATAAATAAATAATTTATTTTAAAAATAACATCAATAAAATAATTATTAATATTTACCAAGTTTTAACCAAAATTGTGTAGCAAATTCTTCATAATATTTTATTTCATTTCTTATTTTTTTGCTATTTGCATTTCCTTCAATATACAATTTCATTTTCTATAATAAAAAAAAATTATTAAAAAAAATATATTTTTTTTATACCAAATTAATTAATTACCTTGTAATCTCTTAATAGTCCATTAAACTTTTCTTTACACTGTTGGCCTGTATAACTAGTGCCAAATTCAATATTAATTTTGCTTGCTATTCCTTTCCAGAACATACCTTTCTGGTTACAAACAAGTTCATGATATTCATTGTTATTGTCTTTTCTATAATCAATCAAAACATGCAATTGTGCATCAGTCCATATTGAAGATAAATTTATCATGAAATTAATTATAAAAAAAAAAGAAAAAAAGACATTTATATAATTTTAGTAAATTAATTACTTCATTTAAGTTATGCATTAATTTGTAAATAAATAATATAAACATATTTAACATTAAGCTTAACATTACGATCATATTATTTAACATGATGTAAGATTCAGATTTTAATCTGACGTAACTAGAACTAAAAATGACCTACAGTAGCCCCAAAATGATTTCATCATTACATATCATATCTTGGCTCAAAAATTTAAATTATCTGACCTGCTATCAAGTACTATAAATAATAGACATTGTAATTTATAGGTTGTATTCGATAAGTAAAGATGCAAATATATAATTATATAGAATTTATTAGAATCGCATTATGTATTTATTTGGGTTTGACTAGCAATTTTATTTAAAGTATATAATATAAAGTAGTAACTATATATAAATAAGGGGAAATTGCCATTTATATCTGAATTTTAATAGTACCTTTATACTTTGAGAATGACTGGATAAAACTTTGAAAATTGATTAAGAATAAATAAAAATATGCATTGGGTATATCCTTAGCGTTAGCCTTTGTTAATATCTGAATACATTGATTAGCATTTTACAGTAATTTATTGGTTTATTTGCACTAAAAACACGTAAGAATACAATGTTAGAATTAAAGCAAGTCGATTTTTACTTTTAATAAGATTTTAAATCCTTCTTACGAAACTTTTTGAAAGTTCCAATAGTAATATGGTGCGAAACGCTCAGTCGCGCCACTTTGTAGGTATGGTCATCATCTAAGCTATGATGTGTCATCATTGATAGAATATTCATAGTTTTAATATATATAGAATTGAAATTTACTTTAAATATCATAAATTGTCTATCATTTCTGAAATATCTGTTTAAAAGATATTTCAGAAATAATTGACCATTTGCGATTTTCAAAGGAAATTCAAATTCTAGAATTTAATATTTAAATTATGAAATTGCTTGAGATACTTTCATTTAATTCTTGAAACAACTTGGGTAATGATTAAGTATGAATTTGGGTACCCTAACCATGGTTAAGAATATTTCAAAGATAAAAACGAAATAAAATGGAGTAATTAACGTAATTTAAACATTAAATAAACTCAATAAATTTATTTACCTCATCAAAAGAACTTTGATCATGAAACGTTTTAAATGCAAATGAATAATTTAGATTGGCAGAATCCTTATAATCAATTCTGCAATTAGCATGATAAACGGTCGTAATTTCACCTTTTCCAAGCTCTTCAATATTTTCGAATTTATTATATGGGATCCATAATAATTGATACCTCTCATCATCAAATATTTTTTTAACATTATCATCTACACCGGAATAAGAGAATTTCTTTATTTCTGTTTAAAATTTAAGTTAAAATATTAAATATAAGCTTAGATAAAAAGAATAACCTACAAGATTATTACCTTAAAATTTGGTTCTTTCCCTATTTTTAAATTATTAATATTACTTAATATTTTTTTTATAAGGGTTAAGAAATATGCTTAAATTTTAAACCAATATTCAACTTCCTTTAGGTTCCGATTCCGTTTCGATAACAATAACCAGCGAGGCTCATTCCTTTGACTCAAAAGCTTTTTTCAAATTTATTTCAACTCTGATTCTATATCGATAACAATTTCCAAGACTATATGTTCCCACCATATCTTCGATATTAGCAGCTTTTTGATAATAAATAAATGCTTTATGTTCATCCTATTCAACTCCAATTCAAGCTTAAAATTTGTGAAATTTTATACAAATTTATAAAACTTTGATCAAAATTTCGGATATCTATGCAATATACAGTACATCATTTAACTCTCCAGTAAACCAAACACTTTGTACTTTATACTACGTTCCTGGTATACATTATCCGCATATAATTTTGGTGAACATTCAGATTCACTGTAACCCAAATACTCAAAACAAGATTTTCCAATTTCATTGTCACTGAATGAACATGAAATGGAAGAATGACATTTTCAGTAGTGCAATAATAACAGGTACAATCTTAAATATTATAGTATATTATATCGCAAACTCTAACCTTATCAATTCAAATTCACCATCTGGCAGTAAAAAGCTGGTTGTACTATCTGAATCGAAGCTCCCAGATTTACCATTGATGAAATTGACAATCATTGATTTTAACAGCAGATTTCCTTGATTAATTTAATGAATTTGAGAGGCTACTTGATATTGTAAATAAGTTATTATATTAGGGCCTAATTAGACGTGATGGATCTATTTCCCTGTTTCTTCAACGTTCTTTGATTAATCAATACCATAATTAAAAAATGATTACAGTATCATTTAATTTATATTTCATGGACATCCGAATTTTTGATCATCCGAAGTTTTATACGAATTGGATAAAACTTTGGATGATCAAAAGTTCGGATGTCCATGTATTAGAATTTATATATCATGGATATCCGAATTTTTGATAATCCGAAGTTTTATACGAATTTGTATAAACTTTGGATGATCAAAAGTTCGGGTGTCCATATATTAGAATTTATATATCATGGATATCCGAATTTTTGATCATCCGAAGTTTTATACAAATTTGTATAAACTTTGGATGATCAAAATTCGGATGTCCATGAAATATAAATTCTAATACATGGTTACTCAAAGTTTTACTGCGGAAATTCGGATTATCGAAATTCGGATTATCGTGAGTCAACCAGTAGCTTATTTAGAGTCTAATAGTAGATATAAATATAGAGTTGTAGAACACTGGTTAGAGTGGTAGTTTGGTATTTTTAGTTGGTTAGTCTTTTAGTTAGGTTTAGTTGGAACAAAGGATATTGTAGAGGACTATAATGTACCGGGTACACTTGTTGGAATATATTAAGATACTTACTTGATCGCTTGGATTATTGGTACTTTTTGGTGCCTTGTATGTATTAATAAATATTTGGTTTATTTCTTTTAATGCTTACGACCCTAAGCTAAATTGGTTGGTTGATATAAAGTCTTTCCCCTGGTCGTAACAACACCCAAAAGACTAATAAATAGGAAAGAATTAGCCTTGCTTATATCAACGTTATGTAAGTTCATGAAATCAGACATGGCCTTATGGTGCTTTAAGGGTTTTTTAAAAATATGTAGAAAAAAAATAAGAATTTTCTACAGTTCAGATGTTTTCTGATTCATAAGAAGCAAGAAAAGTTTGGTTTTTAAAAAAAACTATGGTAAGGATGGTGCATGCCATTGTGCAGCATTGCCGGCAATAAACTTAATTATTTTTGGTGCCGTACATATGTATGTATATACTGTACGAATACATTCATATTACGATTTATGATCCAACTGTTGTAAAAATCTCATTATATAAAATACCGCCCATGTGCATTATTTTGAAACTCTATATTCAAAAAATTAGCCTATTTATTCAAAACAATGCCCTTGGGCGTACTCTAAATAGAGCACAGGTAGTTAAAATAGCATGCAAATGCCCACTATTCCGAGAATTTACGGTATATAGTTTTTTTTGTATATTCAATTAAACTAATAGGTTGTATATTGTTAAGATTTCTATTAAACTTTGGTTTTTTTAAAATAAAATATATTTTGTTGCATTTTTATTGTTTTAGAATGTTTTGTATAATTAAACATCTGTTAAAAAATGTTGTAAGTACAGACAGCATATTGGAATCTAGATATTTAATATTTTCATAACTGATTCCTGTTAGGTCACAAGTCTTGTTATTGGATAGTTGTTGTATAGTGATTTCTTAAAGTTAATACTATGGTTAGGTTGGTAAATATTTTTTAAATTGTAATCAAAAATATCTTCATCAAATAGATAGTAAGTAGTTCATTCATTGTAGTGATTACTAACATATTATTTAATTTCTATAAAGTTATTAATTATGTTATTGTTGGCTTTGATATTTTAAAGATATATTGTATTAGTATATTAGTTTAGTATGCTATTGATCATTTTGGTTAGTTGGGTAGTTAGATGTTCATATTATTTGTTAATAGCTAGATTAATATAATTTCTAAGATACTTAGCATTCTCTAACTTTTTGACATTATAAAATGTTTTTCAAAAAGTTTTTATATATTGTATTCATATAGTTAGGTTGGATTAGTGGTTAGGAAAAGGTTCAATAGTAAAGTTATAAGTATTGTTGATATAATTAATTAAGTTTTAAATATTGGTAGATAATGATATTTGGTAAAAAAATTATTTTTTAGTATAATATATTATATAACTTATAGTTTTAAGGTTATGATATAGTTAGGTTGTTTTTGGTATAAATATATAATAAAAATTTTTAATAATGTATTTTTTGTTAGAAATATGTTGAAATACAGCATTGATAATACTAGTATGTATTTTGTGCCATGTTTTTTCTAAGCTTTTTGCTATATTTGTTATAGTTAAAATCTGGTATTGTATTATGTTAGAATTTATTTGGTTTATAAATTGTTTCAATCTTCTTTAAATATAACTTTGTAATTAAATATTCATTGTTTCCTTTTGTTTTTGTATCTAACCTTGGTCTTAGCAAATAAAAATATCCATATTGATGTTAAGATTTAATGATCATTATTAGTAAAAAATAATGAATTATTAAGTTTGAATTCTTGTAAATAAGGTATAAAAGAGTTATAGGCCTATATATAGTCTATTCTAGTCTGGTATTATGAGCTGTATCATGTATTTTGTAGGCTATAGATATATTTTGCTAGGTCAAACATATTGGTACTATATAGATAATTAAATAATTAGAATTTAGTTGTTAATGATGTAGTAGTATTGTGATCTGCATTAAAGTCACTGAGTATAATAGAATATAAATTCAAAGATATTGCTTGTTATATCTATGTGGTAACTTTATTTTGTATAAGTCTACACTTACTAGTATTAGTTGATAAGAGATATACTGAAATAATAATTATATTTAAAAATAGATATATAGCAATAATACTATTAAGTTGTATATGTTATATATATAAAATTTG